TACCCGTGGTGCTGCTTACGTCATTCGGATTCTCCAAATCGGGATCCGCGACTGAGAGCTTGCCGTCTGAACCTCAGCCTCTCAGCTCAACCCCACTTCCCCACAAAACCACACTGTGAGTACATATCTACTTAGTCGTTCCATGTGCCGTCATGGCAGAGTTTATCGGCGTTGCTGCATCAATTACGCAACTTGTGGACCTTAGCGGCACACTTCTAGCAGGAGGATACGGCTTTTTAGCCAAAGTCGCTCGCGCTCCTTCCGAGATCAGAGCGCTTTTAACAGAAGCTGCCGCCGTTAATAGCCTACTTGGACGCTTCCAAGTCATTGCAGATGCATCACAAAACACTAATCAGAGTGATGCACTCAAGTCGCTGGAGCAATTGGGTGTGCTTCGAGAATGCTTTGCAGCCCTCAAATCCGTGGAGAAAGCACTCAAAACATGTGAGCAAGTTCAGGGGCAGGATGTCAAGAACATTGGGAAGAAATTGTTGTGGCCTTTCAAGGAGAAGGAGACGAAAGAGACACTACAACAACTTCGTCACCTGCGAGGCTTACTGACTGATGCGCTTTCAGTGAATACTGCGTGAGTAGCCAGGGTGGTTCGGATGCCAGCCGCTGAGTTGTATTCAGAGCCTCGCTTCTGCACATCGAAGCAAGCCAAGACGTCTTACTCGAAGAGATGAACATAATTTCAGCTCATGTTCAAGCACAGGTCACGCAGGACAAGGCGCACAAAGTCGTCACGTGGATCTGTCCTTCGCCAACGACTGACGCCCATGTCACCCTACAACACGCTTTGAGTCGCCGCTTACCCGGCACTGGGAAATGGTTCTTGGACTCTTCTATGCTTAATGACTTCATCCTATCGAAAAGCAGCACAATCTGGATAACAGGTCTTCCCGGCTCAGGCAAGACCATGCTATGCTCTTCAATCATAGAGCGTCTTCTGCAAAACGTAGCTCCACCAGCACATGTACTTTACTTCTTCTGCGATCACAGAGATCGCTCCCGAACGACACACGAAAGTTTCGTTACCACGATCATTCACCAGGCGCTGAACATTTCTCCACCATGCTTGAAGCACGCGGAGAAGCTATATGATGAGCAAGCTAAGCTCGGCAAGCGCCCGTTCGATCGCGCAGGCTTCGTTACCCTTGTAGAGGCTTTCTTGAGCCATGTCCCAGAACTCTTCATCATTTTGGATGCGCTGGACGAGTCGTCAGAGGGTTCCCAAATCGCAGAGACCTTGGTAGGCTTGCAAAGATCTGCACGGCGCGCAGGAACGAAATTGAAAATCCTCTTCACGAGCCGCTTTGACATCCGCATTGAGCAACGATTTCCAGATCTTACGCGTCTGAGAGTTGCGCTCGCAGAAAACATGCGTCAAGATATTGACCAGTATGTCGAAGCAGAGCTTCAGTCGCGCGTCACTGGCGGTCGCTTGAAATTGAGAGATAGAGATACCTTGCTGCCCACGATTCGACAGCAAGTCTCAGCATGTGCTGGCACGTAAGTTCAGTCGACTTTGGCCCGTTACATCACCGCAGTCCATGACCACTGTACGCTTGAAGAGCCATCGCTGATTGAATGTTAGTGTTTTACAGGCACAACTACAAATTGACGTTCTTTCGACAGCAAAAACCGACAAAGAGGTGAAGAGAATGATGCAAAGCTTGCCAGATGGTCTTGATTATACTTACGAAGCTCTACTATGTCAGGCAGCATTGCGTTACCCGGATCAAATAGAGGATATGAAGCGACTCCTCCGTTGTTTGATTACCACAGCTTCGCCTCTAACTGCAACCCAGCTTGCAGAAATCATGGCGATGCAGCCCGGGTCGCGCTATTTGGATTTCGACACAGTCGCCACCGATCCATATGACGTGCTCGAGCCTATTGCATCTCTAGTCGTGATCAGCGGAGAGGGTCAAAAGGAAAGTGTGGTCAAGCTTTCACACTATTCTCTGGAAGAGTATCTGTGCTCGGACAAAATACGTCAAGGCCCAGCCAAAGCTTTTTTCATCGACCATAGCGAAGCAGATGCTTGGCTGGCGTCTATATGCTTGCAGTATCTGACGTTCGACATATTCAATGCCCCACTGGAACAGGACTTCGACCCCGACGCCATTTCGTTGTACGCGTTCAGGCAGTATGCTGCGTTGAACTGGTACAAGCACATTCGAGTTACTGAAGACCAGCCGCACCTCCTACAACTATGCAGTCCTTATTTGTATCAGTTCCTTGACCGCTTCGAAGGACCGCCCTGCTACAGGCGTTGGCAAGATTGCATCGTCGAGACCGGACATTTCTATCGCCATCTTTCCTACTCGCCTATCAACTTCTGCATCTGGGCCTCGTTGAACGCAATTGCTAAGAGCCTGATCAGCCAGTTATCAAACCCGGACGCTTACTCTGTTGACGGAAACACTTGCCTGACCGTTGCAGCATACAAGAACAACGTCGATATAATTGTATTCCTTGCAGACAGTGGCGCTAGTATCGACCTACCAACCTACGAACCAGAGTACGTACGCGCCCTGACACCACTCCACATCGCCGCTGAATGGTCTTCCCGTGAAGCGTTCGACCTCTTACTCGCCCTCGGCGCTGATCCTCACAAGCCCTCCACATCAGGCGCCACCCCATTCTACCGCGCGTGTCGCGGGGGAGACGTATATATCGTGAGGATTTTGAAAGAGCTTGGGTGCGATATCAATGCACGGACATGGCGGAGTAACTGGACACCGCTTATGGAAGCCGTCACGACTAATTCAGAGGAAGTTGTGGATTTGCTGCTGGAGTGGGGCGCGGATTTGAGTGTTGTCACGAATGAAGGGGCGACGGCGTTGGCGTTTGCAGAATTCATTGGGAGTGAGTCGATTGTAAGGAAATTACGTGCTGCGTTGGCTTTGAGAGCTGCTGATGAGACTTGATTGCGTTGCATCGAAAGTGGATACACTAGGAGGCGACACAATATAGGGGAACTGGTGAGTGCTCTGGTTATACCGCGCGAGGCGCGGACACGATATTCTCGCTTAGAGACATAGGACTATGAAGGGGAAGTGAAGTCATACCAGCCTCGAAATTCGCCGGTTGGACATGCAAAACATCAGAACGCCGTCGTTTTCCTCCTCCATTATCACCCCACACCATCAAATGCCTAATCTTCTGAGCCATCCTCTGGCAACGTCTTCAAAACATCCTCTACCAAACTAATCAAGTCATCCACATCCGGCCGCTCACTCGGCTCCAATATCAAACACTTCCTCACTACCTCCTTTACGGGCTCACTGATCACTTCCTCAGTCTGCTTCGCTTTTCCTCTCTGCGGACCTTCGTCCGGAAACCTCCAATCGCCACCGAGCACACATATACTCAGACTGCCACCCGTCTCGTCTGATCGGAACTCAAATGGACTTTTTCCAACGAGACACGCGTAGAGTGTGCAGCCTAGCGACCAGATGTCGACTTTGGTATCGATGACGGAGCCGGTCTTGACGTCGAAAAGTTCGGGTGCGCGGTATGGCATGGTCGAGTGTTCGGCGGCGGTGTCTTGGACTTGTAGGGCGAGGGAGCGAGAGGTTATGGGTGTGGGTGAGGGCGCAAGGGAGCCGAGGTCCATGAGTATGGGTGATTTGCCGTCGTCGTCGATCATGATGTTGCCTGTGAAGTCCATGTTAGTATGGGTCCAAATATTCTCATAGCTCAAAATACGGGGAAATGAAACATACCGGGCTTGATATCGCGATGCGCATATGCCCGCTCTCCGCCTGGCGCAATGCCTTCTTGCGCCATTGTGGCTTCTGATTCTTCAAGCAGACCTTCGGCTTCTTGCTCGTCGTCATCGTCGTGCTCGCGGTGTTTTCGACTCGGTCGCATCTCCATGCTGTTGGCAGCCTCCGCGTCCGCGCGCGCAGCATCTCTCCGGACTTTCTTTGCTTTGCCTTCGCTCCGCGCGCCGCCCGGCCCACCCTTAATCTTGTACTGATGCATCGCTTTCAAAGCTTTGCACACCCCCAAGAACAGCACCATCAGTCTCCGCTCGGGGAACTTGGTGTGGTTGACCAGATTCGCATTGATCATATCTTGCAGGTTGCCGCGCCGATAGTATGGTAACAAGATATACACAGTCTTTGCCGACGGATCTGACTTGTCTGTTTCAACAGAGTAGTCTATCGAGTGGATGATGTTCGGGTGCGGCGAGAATAACGTATACGCCTCGACTTCCTTGAGCGCCAGGCTCACGCTTTCTTGACCGAACGGACATCGGATCTTCTTGAGGGCGAGGAGTTCTTGATTCGAATTATCTTGTACTAGGTAGACGTATGAGAAGCCACCCTGCCAACACATTGTAATCAGTCATTGGATATCAAAAGTTGGGAAGAGCGTGCAAGGGAGCATACCTCGCCTAGTAATCTCAAGATCTTGAAGCTCCGGCTGTTGATTTTGAGTTGTGGTGAGCTGGGAAAGCACACCATGCAATTCGTGAACGAATACACAACGTCCAGGAAGTATGTGCCTAATGAACCCATTGCGCCGGTCGTGGTGTGTTGTCGATCGCGAGTGTTTGTGATGCTATTGACAGCTGGGGAGCTCAATGCCGATATGTTGGGGGATTGTACGCGCGTCCAAGGCAAGCGATTGTTGTCGCGTCGAGATGCTGCGCGGGAAACGATTTCGAGAGTCGGGATAGGTGTGAGAACGGATGTCGGATTCAATGTGTCCTTTCACGTAAGACAATCGCGCAGCTGGTGTTCACGGAGCTGACGACGTGGTAGGTCCGAGCATGCCAAGTTTGTGGCTGTGCCGCCCCACTCCCAGACCTACTACATCCCGCTAGCGTGGGCTGTAGCAGAAAACCTAGCTTGTTGGCTCGGGCACATCCCATCTGTTCCCACTCGACGTGGGTGCAGATAGCTCATATTTTGCAGTGGTATATAAGTTGTTTAATTTGAAAGATGAACAATGATTGGCCGTTTCGACAGTCAACAGGTATTGGGCGTGTGGCTCAGTGGTAGAGCGTCCGCTTTGCATGTCCTTCATTTGAGGGAAGCATCGCTGCGGAAGGTCCAGGTTTCGATCACCTGCCCGTCCACTTTTTGGGCCTTTTTTTGCATCGAGTCAGGACACAAGAGAGCCGTAGCTTTTGCTGAACTTGATGAAGCCTATAGCAGATGTCTCGCACACGATTTTTACCGCTCATCCTTAGGCGCACCCGTCAAGGCCACCCGCGTTGATCCACAGCGACCAGGTCACACCACCGCAAGAATGGGCTGCCAATGTCTTGGAGCTCTGCGAAATGAGATCAGGAAGGTGGGCCGTTCCTCACATTGGAGAAGGAAGCTACCTAGTTGAACATCCTTCTTATTGTCCTACGAGCACAAGCAGTAGCACTGAGCAGGACGGGTTCAAGCTTTTCCAGTTACTCCACCATCAAACGAAACTGGGATGCCATCTCTTATCTTCAGGATTATGAGTGGCATCGGGGTCGCTTCAGCCATCTACTCAGCCAGTATTCTCGCGGTCTTGCGCATTCCCTGGCTAGAACATCACGCAGTGTACATGCACCGCCTCCGCCTCATCGGCCAGCGAAGCCTAGACCATCCAGAACAATTCGGTTTCGCGCACCGTCAAGTTACTCCTTTCTTCATTCGCACCAAGGACGGCACCAAGTTACATGCCTGGCACGTTCTGCCCATTGGACTATACTATAAGCACGCCACAGAGCTGCTGAGCCAAGCCCAAAGTCCGACCACGGAAGACGAGTTTGAGAACAAGCTCAACTTCAAGCTCTTAAGGGAAGACCCAGAAGCAAGGCTAGTCATACACACCCACGGCTCTTCGGGCGCGTTGGCGGCGTACACTCGACCCGAGACTTACCGCTCCCTCTCCACGCTGGCACCAAGCAAGATCCATGTACTGGCATTCGATTATCGAGGCTTCGGTCTGTCATCTGGAAGCCCAAGCGAAGACGGTCTTTGCATCGACGCACACGCCGTCTTCGACTGGGCCACACAGGTTGCTGGTATTCCTGCGTCGCGCATCGTACTCTTTGGTCAGTCCATGGGGGCGGGTGTAGCTATCGCTCTGACGCGAGACCTTGTGCTTCAGAAGGTCACTGTAGCTGGATTGATTATGACTGGGGCTTTTCCGAATGTTCGGACCATGCTGGCTGAGTACCGAAGCTTCTTTGGACTGAGGCCATATGGCTTACTGGCGAGGTTTCCAGGCTTGATGGATATTTGCACGCGAGACATGCGAAATAAGTGGAAGAATAGAGACGCACTTGCTGATATGGTGAAATATGGCACTAATTACCACGTGGAGATATTCCATGCACAGGACGATCCCATCGTGCCTTGGGGTCTGAGTAATGGGTTCTTCGAATGTGCTGTCAGAGCTGCGAGTCATGGGAATATGTCGATGGAGGATTTCGAGAAAGAGAACGCTCGAAGAAGAATTGATTTGGATGAAGGAGGTTGGGTGGTGGAGTGGCCGACACGCAATGGATACATACGACAGGAAGTGCCACGTTATGGCATTCACGAAAAGATCATGGCGCATCCTCAGATTGCGATGGCTGTTATGAGGGCGTTCCAGTACAGAGACCCAATGTTTGAGGGCTGAAGAATGAAAAGCGACATTCTGCTTAATGTCGCGCATACGTCCGTTGATAACGAATTGCTGTCCACCTTCATGGCCATTCATTCTGCGGCCTCTCGTCAAACGCGAAATCAATCTTCGCGTCCAAACACGCCAGGAAATCCTTATCTCCATACTCCTTTACCTTGTTCAGCGCATCCAAAGTTTTTCGCGTCTTCTCGCACTTATTGTACCACGCACGCTCAAAGTTCGGCGCATCTCCGCGATCTGGCAAGATAGCCCACTCAGGTAGCGCGATCTCGTCCTTCTCGCCATCCATATACCACCAGAAACGTGCCTTGCCGTCCGTGCCGCGCCAGTGCTCGCGATTCCAACGGTCTTTGAGTGGCGAGTGCTTGTCCCAGCCGTGAACGAGGCTGCGATGTAGCACGATTGGGTGGATATATTCGTTCGTTAAGCCAACATTGCGAAGCGGCTTCCAGTGATAGTGTTTCTCTTCCTCGTTGTATGTCTCGACATCCTCATGCCCTGGCAAGCGCATGTGACTGCCGTTGAGATGGTACATGCCACCGAATGAATCCACGAGCGGGCCAGTACCCCAGCTGAAGTCAAATTCGGTGTGAGCATGGGCAGGGCTCTGCTTTGGTGGCTCGAGTTCGCTAGGAGCGGGGTTGATTAGGGGGATGTTTGGGATGAATGACTTTGCTTTGTCCCACGTCGTCTCGTGGTGATAGGTACATGCGTAGCGGATGCGGAAAAGCCATCGCCTGTACTGATTCAGATACTCGTTGAACGCTTCTTGATCGATTGTGAGATGAGGTGAGATACATTGCAACATCCATGCTAGAGTCGCTGTTGATATGTCTGTAATGAATGTTAGGAAGAGTAGAGGACCTGACAGCGCCGGGACTTACTCTCGTTGTCGGCTTGCATTTGGGAGAACGCATCTTTATTGCCTCCGCCGATATTGATATGCACACCGGGAAACTACAGCCCCGGAGATTAGCTTAAACACCATGTCGCACATGCAAATATACTTACCCAGACTTGCTTCAACTGTGGAGTGGGTGTGTTCGGATCATCGACGAGATCCTTGGGGATATACCACAGTGTCGGGCGGAAAGCCTTCCGGCGCTCATCCAAAGCCAGCGCTTGGTAAGCATGCTGAATATCTGTGCTCTGTCAGTGTCAAGCCAGTCTAAAAATGACAAACATACGCTCTGTGAGCTTGACATTGTGAAAACCATGTTTTGTCCGGTTCCATGCCAGACTGATGCCCATTACGTCTGGCACGCCGAGAGACCCCACTGTGTCAAAGACACCAACGACTTTCACATTCCTGCTCTCAGAGTTTGCCATGAGCTCTTTGTGAGGACGGATTTCCCAGGCTTCTGCAAGTTGCTGTAGATTCGCTTTATCCAGTGATATGCCCTGGTCGCGCAACTCTTTGCCCTTCTTGCTCAGCTTGCCATCGACGAAATCCTTCCAGCTTTGCGTTTCACGGAACTCAACTCCTTCGTCATTGGCCATGTACGCACGGTACAGGTCAGGAAAGAATTGCATGTGGATTGGTTTGATGACGCCAATATCAGAGACCAAGCCTGCGACAGCTCTTGCAGTGTATGCACCCCTGGAAAAGCCAAAGCAGAAAATCTCGTCGCCCGGCTCATAATTCAGCACGATGAAGTTGTAGGCTTCGATGACGTTTTCAGCAAGTCCAGCCCCTGTCCCGCCCTGTCTCCGCTGTTCGGATTTGCTCAAATTACCTGTTCCCACCCCGCTATCGTAGTAGACGATCTGATGGAATTTTTTCGAGGGATCGTTCTGGTCTGTCCCAATGCGAGCAATCAGACGGCATAGCTTGGTGATGTTTGAAGGAACGTTTTCGTTGATGCTAACGCTCGACTGCCAAGTGCCATCGCAGCAGACGACCAGGCGCCTTCCCCAGGCTGTGTTGTTGGCCATCTCGTGTAGCAAGATTGTATAGTGAGGTATGATGATGCCACTAGGAATGCAGGAGGAGCGGCCCGTGGAGCGATCGGGAGGACGACATATATGCAAGCCGCAGAACGCCAACCTCGTACCAAGGCTGAGGTCAGGCTGAGCTAGGCATCGAAGCCAACGATACACGAGACGGTGAAGGGTAAGCACGACTCTCAGCCGTGCGACCTGAGAGGGCGACGGGTGCAGTGGTCAATCAGGCAGCGGAGCTCTTGCCTTTGTTCAGGAGTGCTTCGCACACCGCAGACTGCAGGATGAAGCGTCACTAGGTTCAGCCGTGGCCCCACAACAGCCAATTGCCCATCTTGGCTTCTCCCAGCTGAGGTCGCCAAGTGACCCGTTCTCGTGCGGAGCGCCCAATTGTGCATGTGCGCGATCTTGAGCGATCAAGTCGGCGAATACAGGGCGCCAAAAGCTGAACACGGTTGGTGCTGTGGACGATGGGACAAAACCTGGTTGGTGCTGCGGGAAAGCCGCTAGCGCGAACCCTGACTAGCCCGATTGGTGATATGCATCGATCGACACTGCGCCGAGGGGAAATGGGTCAGCAGCGTGTTTCTTCAGCTCAACACGAATGGTTTGCAGCGGCTCCAGCATTTTCCGTTCACTTCCAGGCTTCACACAACACAGGGTCCCTTGTTGTGTATCAGGTAGGTTGTGGTGCCACCGCGATTGCCAAAGGATGAATCAAGCCGAGACAAGGCTGCCGTTGTACGGCACGCTTTCAACCCAGTCGCCAGTCTTTCGTCTCTTAGAGCTGCAAAGTTCGGATGATCCAGCAGATGCCATCGCTTGCACATTGGAAGTACATCGTCTAGATTACGCGCCACCATACAAAGCCTTATCGTACGCTTGGAACGAGGATGACCAGTTTGTGCCTCGCGAGGATGACGAAATGTCTCGTAGAAGATTCCAGGTCTACGTACGCACCAATCACGGAAGAGGAAGCTTTGAGCAGATGGTCAGCGTTTCCAGGAGTCTTGCTCTTGCAATGCGCAGGTTGCGTCAAAGAGACAGACCCATTCTGTTATGGGTAGACTCATTGTGCATCAATCAGATGGATACAGACGAACGTGCAAAGCAAGTGGAAATGATGGGAATGATTTATCAGTCCGCGGCCGAAGTTGTGATATGGCTTGGCGAAAGAGAAGTGGATGATGAACTGGGTGAATGGCTTCAAGGCATCAACCAGAGAACTGTCGTCTACAGTGACTGGAACAACGATAATAGGTCCCAATCCCTGGTCAAACACTATATCAATAGCTATAAGACACTACAGGACAATTACAGTGGGCCTGTAACACAGAAACGAGACGTATACGGCGCATTCTGTTTGATCTGGTTGCTATCGCAGGGTATCAAGTCGAAAGAGATTCCTTTCTATCACGAGAAGTCGTTCACGAACAGGTTCCGCCTAGCGTGGGCAAGTCAGGTCTCTGATGGTCTCCGGACGATTATGCGAAGAAACTGGGTATGCCTCGGATCGCCAAT